GGAGAGTGAGGTTAGTAGTACCTGAACAAAATCTTCATTTCAAAACTAGTGTTCTTGGGAAGAATAATGGTAGGAGAACCCCCCAACATTTCCCATAGGTGGTGGTGTAAGTGGTTTTATATTCATTGTCAACTGTCATAGGGATGTATTTATGATGTTCAGTGTAGGGCAGTTGCCCTGGATATGTATTTTGTATGAAAAAAACAAAGAAGTAAAAAAAAAAAGAACCTGTGCCCGAAAGACGAGGATAAAATCCAATTTAACACATGATGAAAAAAGGGCCCTACTGGACCTCCAAAATAATGAGTATACAAATCTGAGAAGCGGATAAAGGGGAGCAATAGTCATACAAGACAAAGATCAATACAATAGAGAAGCACATAGATTATTGGGAGATCAACCTACATACAGGAAATTAGATGTAGATCCCACTCAAGACTTCAAGAAAGATCTACTTGCACTATTACTAGAAGCTAAGAGAAAAGGGATCTTAAATCCAGAAGAATTTAATTTTTTCCTATATCAAGAAAGTCCAGTAATAGCTACCTTTTACCATTTACCCCAAATCCACAAAGACCTACATAATCCTCATGGTAGACCCATTGTCTCATCCTGTTCCATGCTGCGGATCAGTCTGGTGATGGCTTCTGGTATCCAGTACTCTTTTTACAATTCTTGTTTAGTTTTTCTTGTTTTTTTTTCTGGCTTTCTATTCTACGTCTGGTTTTCTTTATCCTGGGTTCATTACTATATTCCGTCCCTGGATTTCCCAGTCTCTTGGATTAATTTAAATGTTTGTTTTATGTTGTCACACCCGTTATTTTCCATCATTCCTTTTGTTTCAGTGTTCCTGCAGGCAGCTGCTCAGGTCTTCTGCCCTTTCTTGCTGTTAAGTACTATGTGTATTATCTTTGGTTGGTTTAGCTTGCATTAGGCAGAGTAGGACCTGCCAGATATGGGGTACATTGGCGTTGTTGGCAGGTTTATGCAATGTATGATCATATAATGTGACTAAATCCCCATGATTTTCATATATAGTACTTAGTTATGTTTCCTCTTGTTTTGCCTATCATATCTTTTCTTGTTTTAGTTTGTATTCCCAGTCCATGTACAGTCCTGTCCTGTCCTGCCCATGTTATGTCTATGTTTTCCTAATGTATTGTGTACATGTTCTGGATTTAGCTTCCTATCCTTCTCTGGTTCTAGGTTCTATTAGTTCTGTCTTGTTTTCATGTTTGGTGCCTATTTCCTTGATTCTAGTCTTTCCTTGATTCTGTACTGGATACATACCTGCTGCAGTACCTCCCTATTCAGCTCTGGGAGGTCTGCTTATTTCCTAGTTCCTGGGATCCACTGTAGCTGCATCAGGGTTCTGGTACGTGGCCGCACAAACGCTGGTGCTCAACACCAGGGGGCGTACGGTTACCCTGCAGCAGACCCTGCTAATCCACCTCCACACTGTGACTCCTACTTATCATCAGGCATTCTGGGTCCGGGTCCTCGCACCACCGCCCGGACAGTGACTGGGCCCCGGGCACCGAACCGCCACCCTGACACCCATCATATCGGGTGTAAATTCTCTGACCAACAATATGTCAGCTTATGTGGACTTTTATCTTCAAATTGGTAACACATCTGGATCTCTATTTTAAGGATACATCTTATCTTTTACAACTCATTCCTGATATAGAATGGACCCAAGACTGCTATCTAGTGAGTCTTGATGTAACATCACTCTATACCAGTATTCCACACAAAATTTGTAGAGAAGCAGTCAAGTACTTTTTGGATCTATTCAATTAGGTAAATAAAGACCAACAAGAATTTTTATTGGATTGTATTAGTTTTGTTCTGGAACATCACTACTTCCTCTTTGATAAACAACTTTATCTTCAAACAACTGGGATTGCTATGGGGACAAAACTGGCACCTTTATATTCCAATCTAGCTATGGGATGGTGGGAAAGCCAATACATCTGGAATCACAACCCTTTTTAGAAACACCTGGCATTCTATAAACACTTAATCGAAGATATTTTATTGTTATGGCGAGGAGACAAAAATCACCTTATCTAATTTATTAATAGCAACTCCAACACCCTAAATTTGAAATTCACATATGAAGTGAGTAAAATGAACATCACATTCTTGGATCTAAACATATTCGTGGATTAAAATGGACATCTGCAAACTAAGAACCATCGTAAGAAAGTTGATTGTAATGGCTTTCTCGATGCTATAAGTGCCCACCACACAGGTTGGATAAGAAATATTCCCAAGAGCCAATACATGAGGCTAAAAAGGAATTCTAGTAGACCCACAGACCTTGTGGATGAATTTCAAAATGTAACTAGATATTCTAGATACGTGCAAAAACATTACAACTACAAACAACTTGTGAAAATCTGTGATTAAGTTCCAAACATCAACAGAGAGAACTTAATTTCTAAAAAAAAAAAAAGCACTTGGGAACAAAAACAGTGCTAGACACAACAAAAGCCAAACCTCTTCCAACTTTTGTGACTAGCTATAATTCAGCAGCACTAGGAATGAAGAAAATCATGTGGAAACAATGGCCAATTATAACACAGGACAACTTGATGAACAAAGAAGATGGCAATAAACCAAGAATCATATTCAGGAAGAACCAGACACTTAAAAATATTATTGCCCTAAGCATGATACGGAAGAAAAAGAAAACGCTGGTAATTTGTCACTGAAAGGAATATATAGATATGGAAGAAAAAACTGCATTGCTTGCCCATTTATTAAATCAAAGGACAATAAATATTTTTTGTCCAATCACAACAAAGAAGACAAAAAATATGAAATAGGATGTATTACAGTTGATGAATTGTTCTGTCATTTATCTGTTAGACTGCCCATGTGGCAAACAATATATTGGCTGTACATGTAGAAAGCTAAAAACCAGAATTCGTGAGCATGAGCCATAAAGAAATTTTTTTTACTAACCATGAAGTTCCCCTCCACTTTCTCAAGGCACATAATGGAGATCCACAAGGCCTAAGCGTGAAGGGAATAGAAAATATTTATCCCACAAAGAGAGGTGGCGATAGACTTAGGATTTTAAGACAGAGAGAGTCTTATTGGATTTTTAAGATGGGCACTTTGTTTAATGGTGGATTAAATAAAGACATAGACATTGCAGCTTTTTAAGTTAGTGGAGAAATTAGCTCTCCAGTCTACAAAAGGGTATATAACAACTATTAATGAGAAATATATGTATACAATGTTAGGTCCACTATAGAGAATTTTTATACACATAGGGGAATTATATTATAATATATCTCTCTCTCTCTTTCTCTCTCCCCTCTTTCCCCTCTTGGTCATAAAATGTGATCTGATCATCATCTAAGTCACAACAATAGACAATCACAGTCTGCTTAAACTAATAACACACAAATAATGAAATGTCGCTATGTTTTTATTGAACACACCATGTAAACATTCACAGTGCAGGTGGAAAAAGTATGTGAACCCTTGGATTTAATAACTGGTTGAACCTCCTTTGACAGCAATAACTTCAACCGAACGTTTCCTGTAGTTGCAGATCAGATGTGCACAACAGTCAGGAGTAATTCTTGACCATTCCTCTTTACAGAACTGTTTCAGTTCAGCAATATTCTTGGGATGTCTGGTGTGAATCGCTTTCTTGAGGTCATGCCACAGCATCTCAATCGGGTTGAGGTCAGGACTCTGACTGGGCTACTTCTGAAGGCGTATTTTCTTCTGTTTAAGCCATTCTGTTGTTGATTTACTTCTATGCTTTGGGTCATTGTCCTGTTGCAACACCCATCTTTTGTTGAGCTTCAGCTGGTAGACAGATGGCCTTACGTTCTCCTGTAAAATGTTTTGATAAACTTGAGAATTCATTTTTCCTTCGATGATAGCAAACCATCCAGGCCCTGACACAGCAAAGCAGCCCCAAACCATGATGCCCCCACCACCATACTTCACAGTTGGGATGAGGTTTTGATGTTGGTGTGCTGTGCCTTTTTTTGCCACACATAGTTGAAAGGATAAATGCTGTTCTGGACTCAACTCCCCTCGATTCTCGATCCCCCGTCACCACATCAATTGATGGGAGATCTTGTTTGGCAAATAAGACACACAGACACGAAAGAGTGCTCAACAAGTTCTCAATGAGTATATTTTCAGGGCTAGCATTTATACACAGTTTGTCATGCAAGCAGTGAGATCTATAGTGTCCTTGTAGTTAATAGTACATACTTGTCGGACATGAAAAAGATAAGCATTTGGATAAAGACGAGACAGGAACATCCTAAGGTCAAGGAAGGTCATACATCCTGTAGACGAAAGACCTTGGTACAAAATACATCTGCCAAAGTCAGCATAATTATTTCAAACATTATTTTAAAGCAAGAAAGAGTTTAACTATTTCATATCCTTACAGTCAGTACTAATGATTATAAACCTTATCTAAGCATAAAATACATATGAACAAGGAAAGTTAACTATTTCAGCTTTCATCCCCCCTCTTTGAGCAATACACTTGCTCATATCATTGATAAGATCTTCCCAGGACAGAGACACTTCCACATTATGGCATTCCCAAGCAATCATGTGGTCTACAAGAAAGAGAAACTAAGCAGGAAAAAAGACACTTAATACTTTTACAGACAGATATATAGAAAATTTATGTTTAAGACAAAATGGAACTTGGGCTTATAGCAAATATATTATTGCAAATAGCTGACATGTTAACCAATTTTAAACAGACTAACCAGCCTGTCATCTGTATCGTAAGCCCTGGGTAAATATGGGCAAAGTGTATTATTCCCAACAGTTATTTTCCTCTTTTGTCCACGGAAGTGGGCGCATATAGTCAAAGTGGGAATAATACCTATCCCCCGTTCAAGGACCGGGGTCTAGGATTACCAGTCCACCCGATGATCTGGGGCCAGGCAAAAACCCAGTGGCAAAAACTCATATTTGAGGAAAAAGCACATCTGGGGAAAACCTGAGTGGGGGCCGCGATCGTGTTAGACATGTCATCCCCTCACAGTTGACACCACTTGTGACTTATAATACCCGCACCTGTGAGTACATAGCTCGGGTATCGGGAGGAATTGGGAAACACTTCTTACATATTAATTCATGAGATAAATTATAATCTAGCTTGAAATTCTGACAATAATAACCAGGACCTTGCGTCCTATATCTTTTAACCATTTCCCTATTCCAAAGGTCCAGTCAAAACCAGTCATATCCTCACGCAGTTCCACAAAACATGGGAATCCATCCTGGCACACTCAACATATATCAAAAACACACGTAGTACAGCTAACTCTGGGTCAGCTAACACTTCCTCTCTCTCTCCGGCTAACTCTACAAAAGTAAAAATAAAAATAAAAATAGTTCAATAGTTCAGCATAGTTCAGAAAAATAGAATAAGTCTTTCAGAGTATAAATAAATCAGTTTAGACACCAGACATTTTGTTCCATAAAATGGCTAAGGGTAGCAATATGGCTGACAACAAGACAATGTCAGCTTCCAAATAGTTCTTCTTTTGTTTGCTGGATTTTCACCACAATGCTCTGTGCAACACCCCAATGGTTGAAAGGGTTATTACAGAACCAGCGGTATTAGACAGCACTGCACCTTCAGGACTTTCCAGGTTCTTGCGTGCAAAGTTTATGTCCTCATAAGTATCTCAGTTTCTTTGGCCTGCATGGATAATGACCAAACAGATGTAATTGCAAAATACTTATTGCATGGTCAGCCGGAGAGATTGATGTGTAGTCCCAGAAATCAGGTGGCACAAACACTCCAGGACGGTCTCTACAATCATACAAACACAAGGATCAATACAACATCATTAATTAATTACCTAGGCTAAACTCAAATTAGAGACTAAAGTTAAACTCTTAACTAGTGTAACATGTACTTCTCTCAGTTTTGCTTATAATTCATTGAATTTGTCCTTTATAAAATTTGAATACATAATTTCCCTTTAGAATGCCTTGTATGGATGAGAGAAGCACTCACTCTATAGAAATGTTTGTTAGGATGAATATTAAAACACTAACATTTGCATATACATTCCCAATAAAATTTTGTTCCTAAACTTGAACCTTGATTTGATAATCTCAATTAATTACTTAAATAAAATTGGAATGCTGAAGTCTGTCAGTTTTGTGGACCCTGATAACCTCTTTGGAAACCAGTGGCCTCTGATAAGGAAGGGACAGCAAACTGTAGACATATGTTATATTAAGTTGCCCTCACTTGTCAGGTCTTGGAAACACACTTATTTTATTGCAGATGCCTCTAGGATACCACGTTACATATTGATTAAGCATACTTATTATCCTATTTTAGTTATTTCACATTGCGCAGCCTATGCAAACAATGTCTAGGTCCCAACTTCAGCTTGTACATCCTCTAAGAGCCAGTATTAATACTGTTTTATCTATCAAAACTATATATAAAGTATTAAAAACATGAACCATCTGTGTATTAGGCTGAGGTTGTTGGGTGTGGGTATAGCTTGAAAGTTATGGTTGGTATTGAGGAACCTGCCAGAGTGGGAGTCCTTAAATGCCAGCTGGGCCAGGTTCTCCCCTAGCACCGGGTTCTCCTTTGTCTCCTTGAGCACCAGGTTCACCATTGTTACCCTTAGGTCCAGGAGCACCAGGGAAGCCAGGGACACCATCAATACCAGTGGGGCCAGCTTGACCAGGAGAACCGGGTTCACCTCAAGCACCTTGGGGTGAATCCCTGCTATCTACAATTAAAACAGTGCTGAAGTTACCACCTCTACAAAAGTTAGAAACTTTGACCAAATCCTCTACCTTTGCCTTTAAAACTTTTCTGATTCAATCTCCTATCACCTCCCAAATTTCTTTGTCTCGCCTGCTTAGGATCACAATCCTTGTGACTGCTACAACATACCTTTTCCTTCTTTCTTTCTATCAAAACAACCTGCTGTATCTTTCTCATGAATCTTCCCAAGAAATTCATTTGGGGTCAAAAAGGGCCAGTCACAGACCAGCAAGGAACAAAAGTGAACAAGGAGGAAGCATATTCTATATGCAGGTCGGGATTACCGAACTCACACCCCCTCTTTGTGTACCACACAGATATAATATTAATAAGCTTTTAAACGTTTAATGGATAGTTAAATTGTGTATAAAAAGCAAGGTTGTCTAGGGGTATATACATCGACAATGAAAGCATAGCCTTCATATAGGGCTTGAAATACTGACAGTCTGTGTCATGAGCATAATGCAGACATGCGGTTAGGTACTTTTCCATTGTTATAATATATTGAAAACACTAAGACTTTGCAAAAAATTTTAAAACACATATTGCTTCCTGTACCTGAGGCCGTGCAAGGATGTAGTTAGGATATATTTCAAATTGAGTATCAAAAGTTTAACCACAAAACTATATGTTATACACTTCTTAAGAAAACAAGTTTAACCCGTTAGTGCGTACTTTGGATAGCCTCTTTGCATAATTTGGCTCCTAGTGAGATTATTATATTTATCCTCTTCTGGATCTGCAAAATGCTTTCACTTTACCGATACAAATATAATACAGTAGTTTAGGAGATTAAGATTAACTCACTTATAAATTTCCGAAATTGTCTAATCTCCAATAAAAATACCATGTTATTATTACCCCATAATCAATGAGGCATTCTAGATGAATCTTACTTTGACACAAACAATGCAATATACTTTAAAAGTAGAGTTAACTCTGAGCTGGACAATACTCCCCTATTAGAACTCCTTTATGAGGGAGAGACATCTTGTCCATTCAATCCTTTTTATCAGTAAAAGAATGACTTTCAGGATTAATCAATTTGCAAATGGAAATGAAGAGCCACGATTTGAACAGCAGAAGTTTGCGGGGCCCCTTTCACGTGGGATGTAACAAGCGCTTTTCTTGCTCCAGGAGCGATAGCATACAATTGTTTCATTCTAGCCGGCTGGACAGCATTTCACCTTTTGTAAAAACACTAAATGCTTGCGTTAATGATATGCAAATTACTCTGCTAGTTAAACTCCTACACAATGGACAATAAAATACATGAAACACATAACACACCAATTCATTTCAAACCATATAACTCATACTCAGCATCCAATGTAATATTACATGTCATCTCACAAAACAGACGTAGTAGATACACGTATCGGGTACCCAGCAGATATGCCAATACAGAAAACACATTCATGGGCACGCAACTACACACTCTGTGTCCCTCCTAGGAAACACGGGTAGACACAATATGAAAGCAGTCTTAAACTAACACCTCCAAATCTCCATTCCCATATAGCTATACCAGACCACAACACAGAGCCTCTCTGAGCTCATAGAACTACTCCAACTCAAACTACTCTTGGCCAAAACGCTAGTATTCAACAGCTAATAAAACAGTTATTTGCTAGGTTATTTGGCTGGCATTTGTATCAGTATCACTAGACTGAAACAAACTGATTCAAATATAATTTAAAACAACACAGCAACATATAAATTAAACCACTCTCCAGTTAAGCTGCACACTTCACACATTATCACAATCACCATTTACACAGAATAAACAGTTAACAGCTGTACTCAGAACATATTATTGTAAGGTATACCAATTTTAGTTTGTATTAGATTTATTTTAGGAATTCTTATGCATACATGTTTTTTTTTTTTGTTTTTTTCACTAGACTAAAACAAACTGATTCAAATATAATTTAAAACAACACAGCAACATATAAATTAAACCACTTTCCAGTTAAGCTGCACACTTCGCACATTATCACAATCACCATTTACACAGAATAAACAATTAACAGCTGTACTCAGAACATATTATTGTAAGGTATACCAATTTTAGTTTGTATTAGATTTATTTTAGGAATTCTTATGCATACATGTTTTTTTTTTCTTCTAATTAATGTCATTACTTTAATCTACTACAGTATTGTATATAAAGAAAGGATCCATTTATATAGCGCGCTCATAACTCAAATATTTGTCTGAAACGTCCATTAACTAATCTGAGATGATGCTGCATCAATTTTAAATCTTACAGAAATTTTGCAAACATCTGGACCAGATTACACAGACATGGTTTCACCCGAATCTTTCAGAACTCTCAGAGACTTAAAAAAATGTATACTATACCATGTTTTAAAGGCATGGCAAACCTTAGACCGGTCAGTCTCCAAGAGCCTTTGTAACACAGGTAAAAACCTTTGTCCATGAGCTCTGATCCAGGCTATATACCACAATTTAAAAGAACACATATAATGTGAGACATAGAAGACACAAAACATATGCAGTAGCTGAATCATTTAAAGCATCTGTAGCAATAAAAAGGTTAGCTTTCAGCACAAAATGAAGCATGTGTTGGACCGCTGAAAATGTAAATGTTGCTCTTATTTACAAACAAATCATATTTACAGTATGGATCCTTTGCAACAAACACACAGGGCAGGGAAGATGTGCTGATTGGTGTTCTATACAATTAATCCCATACGGGGAATTAACTTTCAAATACTAATGAAGTGACTTTTTGTCTCAGTTATAAAAATACTGAGCTCATCATGCAAACAATGCAACACATTTACACTATCCCACTCTCATAGAAAGTGTAGTGGGCTTATGGTATTAAAGTAATAATCATACCAGGCACACAGATCCCATGTGAAATAACTTACAATAAAACAGAGTAATAAACTTATACTTCTATGCAACAGAAAGAATAAAACAAAAGATTTAAGTAGGTCTATCAGGTACAACCTGCGAGTCAGTTCTTTTCTAATATACAGTACTGGTATCTTTTATACATATACATATATATACACATATATACACATATATATACATATATATACATATATATATATATACATATTGGTCACTCAGGACCTGAACTTACATTTCCCATACTGCTGACTCAGGGCAGACACACTACTAACTTACCAAAGTGTGTCCCCAATACAGACAATAACCCACAAAGAACACTTAAGACAAACAAAGGTGACCAGGAGAAAGAGAAGTTTGGGGTATACTTATAGATCTTTAAACTGTGCTCCTCAGAACACCTATAATCTTAATAAACCGGAGACCTCTTATGGTCTCAAAACCTGTATCTACCTGAGATACCCTGTATCTATCTTAGATACTAACCTGGGTTACCAAAACCCTATAATAAACCGGAGACCTCTCATGGTCTCAAAAACCTGTATCTATCTTAGATACTAACCTGGGTTACCAAAACCCTATATATATTTAGACCAAATGTCTAATAAACCAGAGACCTATTTACAGTCTCAATATAACTAAAGTCCTTATACCTTTCCTTTCTACTGGATACAGACTTACTGAACCAAAGGGGGTCATAGACAATTAGCGTCAATAAAACACAAAAAGGC